ACCATTCATACCTTTACTAATATCAATAACTGTATTATTAGTACTATTTTTATCATTATTATTTTCATTTTCATTATCATCATTACTATCATCATTGTTATCATCATTATCATTATTATCATTATTATTATTACTATTATTATCATTTATATTATCATATTACTGTTATTATTATTATTACTGCTATTATTATCATTATTATTTATTATCATCATCTTGATAATCATTATCATTACTATTATCAATATCAATATCATCATCATTACATTATTATTATTATTATCATTATCATAATTATTATCAATGCTATTAATACTGTTAGTAACATTACCATGATCATCAGTATTACTATTGTAATCATTATCTTCACTATTATCATAATATTCATTATCATTACTGCACGATAATTACAATAAAACTAATAATCATAATAATGATGATAATGATGAAAAATGATAATAATAATAATAATAATAATAATAATAATAATAAATAATAATAATAATAATAATAATAATAATAATAATAATAATAATAATAATAATAATAATAATAATAATAATAATAATAATAATAACATCGCTAATAATAATCACGATAATGATAATAATAATGATGAGAATGAGAATGACAATGATGATAATACTAATAATAATACTAATGAAACTACGACACTCATAATAGTGATAATAATAACAACAGCACCAATAACCCTACTAATAATAATGATAATAACAAGCAGAAGACTAACAATGATAATAATAACCAAACATAGTAATGATAATGATAATGATAATAATAATAGTAATAATGATAAAAGTTATGATAATCATTATCAGGATGATAATAATAAAAGATATGTTAATAATTATAATGATAATAATGAAAGATAATAATAGTAATAATAACAATAATATAATGATAGTGATAATAGTGATAATGAATAATAATGATAATAATAATAATAATAATAATAATAATAATAATAATAATAATAATAATAATAATAATAATAATAATAATAATAATAATAATAATAATGACAAAAATAATCAGATGCTGCCACCAATTCATCAAGATTTTTTTTTTTTCAATCTCAAATGGGAAGGGCGTGGTGCTGGCTTCCTATATCAAAAAAAAAAAAAAACACACAATGGCATTTCTTCTCCATCTCGCAACTAGCCCTGTTAATTGGCGCTTAAAAATAAAATATAATTTCGGAGACAGAATACCCACAACACCTTTCGTTGACGGTTATTTGTTGTCTCTCCTGCTCACTTGTCTGGCATGTGACTCACTCTTACTCGAGCACGTGTGTGTGTGTGTGTGTGTGTGTGATTGAGTATGTGTGTGGGTGACTGAGTACATGTATGTGTGTGTGAGTGATTGTGTGTGTGTGATTGTGTGTGTGTGTGTGTGATTGTGCGTGTTGTGTGTGTGTGTGTGTGTGTGTGTGTGTGTGTGTGTGTGTGTGTGTGTGTGTGTGTGTGTGTGTGTGTGTGTGTGTGTGTGTGTGTGTGTGCGTGGTTGTGTTCTATTACAGTGTGAAAGGTTCTTTTGTGACGTGTTGCTCCTTGTTTCTCCATGGTGTTTTGACTTGATATGCACTGTGTCATACTCTCTGGCTCGTATCTATAAATCCTTTGTTTGTGTATTATTTTTACGTCCAAGATATCGTTAAACATTTACAGGGCTTTGCATATGTTCGAGGAAAATATATGTAATATATATCATTCATAGAAATTGCCAGTGTTATGAAAGGCGCCAGTTTAATGTTTACCTACGTATAAGTGTCGACTATCACGTTACCCTTTCCACGAAAAAGGGATCATAAAAATAAAATTAACAAAAAAATCTTACCAAGAAAAATGATTCATACATGAAAAAAAAACAGTCGTAAATAAAACTTATAAATAACCATACACTTCGAAGGCCGTTCGCTGTTGCCTACTTGTCAGTCCGTAAAATTAAAGCCGGGTAACTTGTCACGTGTGATATGTTGCTTCTTTAAAATAGACAGACTATTTATCCCTCGCTTGTCGCCTAGTCACCTCACACGAGCCGGGGTGCTTGGTTTGTGCTTTTGTCTTGCTCTTACGCCTGACAAACGACGGGCCAGGAATGTGACAAGCATATGGCGTTGATGACCGTGGCCCGGGAGATTTCTGTTGGGTGACTGCTTGTGAATCAGGCCTTGTTGAGTCGAATCACTCTGGGAAACACGTATCGGACATTGCTGTTGCGTTTGCTAATACTTGGTGGTCTGAACGAATTGTGTTAGGACTCTCTCTCTCTCTCTCTATCTATCTATCTATCTATCTTTCCATCTAACTGTCTATCTATCTATCTATTTCTCTCTCTCTCTCTCTCTCTCTCTCTCTCTCTCTCTCTCTCTCTCTCTCTCTATATATATATATATATATATATATATATATATATATATATATATATGCACAGAAAAAAGACGCTAATAAGAGATGGAACAGGAATGGAAAGTAACGAATATAACAACTGGGTAGGAATATGATAATAAATGCACAGAAAAAGGACGCTAATAAGACATGGGACAGAGATGATTAGCAACGAATATAAGGACTGGGAAGGAATATGATAATAAATGCACAGAAAAAAGACGCTAATAAGAGATGGAAGAGGGATGAATAGTAACGAATATAAGAACTGGATAGGAATATGATAATAAAATTGACAGAAAAGACGCTAATAATAGATGGAATAGGGATGGATAGTGACGAATATAATTGGGTAGGAATATGATAATAAATGCACAGAAAAAAGACGCTAATAAGAGATGGAAAAGGGATGAATAGTAACGAATAAGAACTGGGTAGGAATATGATAATAAATACACAGAAATAGACGCTAATAATAGATGGAAAATGGATGAGAAGTAACGAATAAGAACTGGGTAGGAATATGATAATAAATGCACAGAAAAAAGACGCTAATAATAGATGGAACAGGAATGATAACGAATATAAGAACTGGGTAGGAATATGATAATAAATACACAGAAAAAGACGCTAATAATAGATGGAACAGGGATGGATAGTAACGAATATAAGAACTGGGTAGGAATATGATAATAAATGCACAGAAAAAAAAGACGCTAATAAGAGATGGAACAGGAATGAATAGTAACGAATATAAGAACTGGGTAGGAATATGATAATAAATACACAGAAAAAAGACGCTAATAAGAGATGGGACAGGGATGGATAGTAACGAATATAAGAACTAGGTAGGAATTTGATAATCAATGCACAGAAAAAAGACGCTAATAATAGATGGAACAGGAAAGAATAGTAACGAATATAAAGAACTGGGTAGGAATAGGATAATAAATGGACTGAAAAAAGACGCTAATAAGAGATGGAACAGGGGTGGATAGTAACGAATATAAGAACTGGGTAGGAATATGATAATAAATACACAGAAAAAAGACGCTAATAAGAGATGGAACAGGGATGGATAGTAACGAATAAGAACTGGGTAGGAATATGATAATAAATGCACAGAAAAAGACGCTAATAAGAGATGGAACAGGGATGGATAGTAACGAATATAAGAACTGGGTAGGAATATGATAATAAATGCACAGAAAAAAGACGCTAATAAGAGATGGAACAGGGATGGATAGTAACGAATATAAGAACTGGGTAGGAATATGATAATAAATGCACAGAAAAAAGACGCTAATAAGAGATGGAACAGGATGGATAGTAACGATATAATTGGGTAGGAATATGATAATAAATACACAGAAAAAAGACGCTAATAATAGATGGAACAGGGATGGATAATAACGAATATAAGAACTGGGTAGGAATATGATAATAAATACACAGAAAAAGACGCTAATGAGTGATAGTAACGAATAAGAACTGGGTAGGAATAAATATAAATGCACAGAAAAAAGACGCTAATAAGAGATGGAACAGGGATGGATAGTAACGAATATAACAACTGGGTAGGAATATGATAATAAATGCACAGAAAAAAGACGCTACAATATGTAACATTTATTTAAAGTTGGAAAATATAATATAAAAAAAATGATAAAAAAGGATAAAACATGGTGGTGATGATGATATAATTAATAATATAATTAATGATAATAATAATAATAATAATAATAATAAATAATAATAATAATAATAATAATAATAAATAATAATTAATAATAATAATAATAATAATAATAATAATAATAATAATAATAATAATAACAATAATGATCATGATGATAATAACAACAATGATGATAATAATGATGATGATAATGATAATGAATATAACAATAATAATGACAACAATAATAGTGATGATGCTGTGGTAGTATTAATAGTAATATCCCTACACCATGGTTGTAAGTAAAAAAAAAAAAAAAAAAAAAAGTTAAACACCATAGTAAACAATCTAAGTAGACGGGAAAGTGATAAAACAAGAATTCATTTACTTAGCATAATCATACGAGATGATAAGGATAAAGATAAAAACAACAGCAATAGTGATAATGATGGAAATAAGAATGATGATAATAGTATGATAACGATGTGATTTATAATGATAATGATATTAATGATAAGGATGATGTGATAGCAATAATGATAAATAATGATAATGATAATGATAATGATAATGATAATGAATAATAATAATAATAATTAATAATGATAATAATGATAATATAATAATTAATAATAATATAATAATAATAATAATAATAATAATAATAATAATAATAATAATAATAATAATAATAATAATAATTATTATTATTATTATTATTATTATTATTATTATTGTTATCATCATCATCATCATCATCATCATCATCATCATCATCATCGCCATCATTACAACAACAATAACAACAACTGCAGTAATAGTGATAATGATATAACGACAACAAGACCAACAGTACTAGCAACAGAACAATGCGAACAAAGCCCAAGCCAAAGCCAGGGTCGCGCCGCAGTCCACGCATGCGCAGACGGACACGAAAACAAACCGAGGTCCTTCCCGCTGATTCCTTTGGGTCGCCATGGATTATGAGTGGAAAGAGAAATTAAACAATGAAAGGGCCAAGGTCGAGGATTTATTTAGTTACGAGGGTTGCAAGGTCGGCAGGGGAACGTATGGACACGTGTATAAGGCGAAGAGGAAAGATGGGTAAGAGAAAAGGCTGGGGATTTGTGGAGGGGAGCCTTGGTGTCGAATAATTTTCGTTTTTTGGTTTTGAACTTGTGATTTCGGTAATGTTTTTCTTTTGTTTCCTATGTTATTGTTTTGCGTTGTTGGGTTGATGTTGATCGGTCGAGGTTTGGTGGTTTCGGTGTATTTTTAGCGGTATTTTGGGATAATAGATTCATTATTTGGACTAGCCCATAGTAACTTTTTGAAAGGGCCGTCTTTGTTATGATTGTGTTGATCAATGTAATTCCATTTGGAACTTGAGTTGGATTACAGTGGATCTATCTGCAATCTACAAGCTTGCAACTTTCTTGTTTGTAGTCTTCAATATTCATAATCTACTACACTATCAAATCTACAACCAGTCCTTAATGTCCAGTCTTGTTTATTATCTACAACCAGTTTGTATGCATATACTTATTTTAAATCTTCACTCTTACCACCTTGAGCCCAGTCTGTTATTGGTTCATCTTTAATTTATACTGATGTTGTCTCCATATTCCGTGCTCCAGCAAAGGCCAATGAATCTCTGCCACAAATTTTTTAGCAAGGAAGAGTTAATTCTGGGTTCCTTATTCAATACCAAATCTCAATGGAAGTCGGCAAATTCATGTCTTGCAGGAATGTTCCTGGTGATGACTCGGTGGCCATTGCTAAAGCTTCAGCAAGTGGCGGGCTGGTTGTCTCTTAATATTGTACCTTTAGTTATTTTTATTTTCAATTTGGGGTGGAAATGTCTTTGATAAAAATATTTCTTTTAGCTAATGATTCTTTTACTATTCCAAGTCAAAATTTTTGTTGTTTTATACTGAAAATATGGAGAAAATAATTTCCTTAAGTCTTTTTGTTATTGTATGTAGATGTATTTGATATTGAAGTCCAAAGTTAGATTAAACTAGATTAAGAAAATCTGTTACAGCTTTCAGAGTGTGAAGTATTATCTGTAGCTCATAGATGAGATATTGGTTTTAAAACATAGTTTCAATAAGAAATGTTTGATGTAAAAATTACAAAAGTATTATATTTAGATGTTAGTACACTGCATAGGGTTAAAGTTACTGAGTGCAAAGGACAGATATATGGGGAAATGGACACAGCCATTTTATATATCAGGGGTGGCCAACCAGTTGATTATGGTTGACTGGTCGATCATAAGCCTGTTTTAAGTCGATCACATTACTGTACCTGTTAATGATTCATCCTTCAGAAGTTGTCATGCAAATCGCTGCAATAGCATATTCAAGTACTCAAGATACTTAGATTATTATATTATCTCTTTTTTCTGGGAATAAGTTATATTCATATTTATAATGATGGACCTGTCTGATCAACATACTATTATTTATATTATAAGTAATTGTTATAGTTACAGTTATATTTATGGAATATGTTTGAATCTTAAGCTGGTAGATCACATCAGGGTAACTAGAAAAAGTGGATCATATCTCACAAAAGGTTGGCCACCCCTGTTATAGAGTATAAGAAATAGAGTAATAAACATTTCAGGTACAGGTGTATTAGCCTCATATATACTACTAAACAATGAAAATATCCAAAACGCCCTCACACAGCCAGAGTTCTTTATGTTGTATTTCCCATAAGTTGACACAAAGTGCTAATAAAGGGAGATACTGGGGGGCTTGCCTCCTATCTAGGGAATGTATGGAAACAAGGAAAGAGTAGATTTGAAATTTTTGGTTCCCATGATGCCCTGGTTTTGGGTATCTTAGTGTCTGGAGGGTGCATCACTCCAAGTAACAAATACTCTCTAAAGAATTATTTATTAATAGTTTTTGTTAATAAATATGCATGTGTTGTATAAATAGCTTATGAAAAAAGATATGTAAGTGTTTATTCATTCTGCAGAATTTAGGTTGTTGAGTAAAGTTTATGATGTAGAGTTGGGGACAAGTGTATCTGTGCTGTAAATAGCTACCAAATCTGATGCAGTTCTATTTTTGTCTGTAGAGGTTTGTCATATTTTGTCCTTCCATTATATTGTCCTACTGTTCTTGTCTTTCCATCTTTGGGATTTAACTTTTGGTCCAAGCAGAAAGAAGGAAGTGATGGATAAAGGAGAGGCTTGGAGGAGTAGTGAGGGAAACCTTTGACCCACAATTCACTGCTGGATGCATAGTGTTTCATATTGGTGAATTTTAGTTTGTCCATACTAGTCACGTGGACATGCCAACACTTTTCCATCAGACCAGCTTAGATAGAGAATTAGTATTATCCATGTAAATTTACTTTGTATAAGTATATTTGCTTTAAAGTGTATACTGGTATTTTAATGCCATATCAATGTTTGCCCAAGTTAATGTCTGTAGACTGATTCTATTTATTTTATGATCATATATGAGATTGTTAAAGTTATGAAATAAAAGTACATTTCTGGTTATGTCTCTGAGTTTAGTGCAGGCTATATTTGACATTAATTTTGATGCACATATTAGAGCCCACTTGAGAGTGGCTCCTACTTTACAGGTAGAATAAGTTGGAGTAAGGGGTGTTGTGCCTTTATGTTAATTAAAGTACTTGCAATAGGCTGTCTTGTGTTCTTGTTTCTGCGTTTCTCTTCCATATGGATGAGAAGGCAGGCTTGTACATTTCTTTCTGCATTTTGTTGGTAATTTTATTTATTTTTATACAGAATAAGGGCAAAGGGCCAAGGGTAGACCTAGCTGCTTCCACATTTTTAGTATGGAGGCTACTTTGAAATATGAATCAAGTGTCAGTAAGTGTTTAGAAAAAAGTTTCAATTTCAGGTTGGACACAAAAGAATATGCCCTCAAACAGATAGAAGGCACTGGATTATCTATGTCAGCATGCAGAGAAATTGCAGTAAGTAGAGAATTCAATAGTATATTCTTATTGTATTCCGAATTGAATTGGCCTGGTGGGTTGGATACTCTTCATAGAGCAATAAGAAAAAAAAAGCGTACTCAAGATCATTCCACTCAAAGTATCATAGATAGAAATCCCAAGCCTAGAGTATTTTCATCTGGCTTCACCATGATAACAGACCAGAAACATTCTACAAGTTTACTGAATTTTGTTAGTCTTACCAGTGGTCTCAAATTTTCAACAAGATAGCAATGATCATGAGATTATTGCACTGTTGGGGTTTTAGATTGAAAGATCATCAAAGATTGCTAGCAAAAATTTAAGGATCCTGAGTTATCTGTAATTTAGAAGTTTTACTTTTATATGTATTTTATGTGTATGTTCAGGTCTCATTAGACTTCAATGCTATAAGCTTCTATATGTATATGACGACAGGTAATTAATAATTGTTTATTTTTCCAGTTGCTACGAGAGTTGAAGCATCCAAATGTAATAAACCTCCAGAGAGTATTCCTTTCACATGCAGACAGAAAAGTGTGGCTGTTATTTGATTATGCAGAACATGATCTATGGGTAAGTGAAATAGTAACTGCATTATTCTTGCAACAAAAGGCACATCATGTCATATGCCTGTTAGGGACACTCCATCCCATTTGATATTTCACACCATTCATGACAAAATTGAAGTTGTGTAGAGAGTTGTTCTCAAAGTGGGTGACGCTCCCACATGCAAGAAGAACACTCATCTATCCATGTTTTCTTTTGCAGCACATTATCAAGTTCCATCGAGCATCAAAAGCCAACAAGAAAACAGTGCAGGTCACAAAGGGAATGGTCAAGTCTCTCCTTTATCAAATCCTTGATGGAATTCGATATCTTCACTCTAACTGGGTTCTACACAGAGATCTGGTAACTGTGTTTCTGATTGTCTTTGTTGTCCATAAGCTTAATTGTTATATATGTGCAAGGAAATTAACAAACAAACAAAAAATTTATTGAAGACACAGAATATCATGTGGAATTTAGAAATTGGTTGCTAGTTGATATCATGCAATTAATATCTGAGTTATTGTAAGTCAAAGAGCAGCTGGCAGCAATATTTGTGTCAATCGGTTGAAGATTTGATTGAATGTTATTTGATAATAATGACTGATTTTTAACCTCCTAGAAACCTGCCAACATCCTAGTCATGGGTGAAGGAGTAGAACGAGGGCGAGTGAAAATTGCTGATATGGGTTTTGCAAGGTTGTTTAACTCGCCACTCAAGCCATTAGCTGACTTGGATCCTGTAGTAGTAACCTTTTGGTATCGAGCACCTGAGCTTTTGCTTGGGGCAAGACATTACACCAAAGCCATTGGTAAGCATTTGTATGAATATTTGGGTGGTTTGCTTTCTGGGAATTTGTGTTCATGTAGCATCATTTTTTTATTGAATGCTACTGGGAATATGTACCATTCACTGGAGTTTTGTTTTGGTAAGTGTTTTTTGTGACAAATAGCTTCACAAGGGCTCAGCCACTGAGGAGTCACTTTGTAGACCTAGGGACCTCACCTGATTTCCCCTTCCCTAGAGTTTTTGAGGAAATAGTTTCTCTTTCTCATGCTATTACTATTATTTTTTTGTTGTTGTTGGTATTATTATTATTATTATTATATTACTGATGATGATGATGATGATGATGATGGAAATTTTGGGTTTTACAATGTCATAAAATATAATAGTAGCAATAGATTTTTTCTGAAAGTCAAGGGAAAGGGGAAATAACTGAAATTGGTAGTACTAGTAATTGAGTTCTTGGTGACTAAGCACTTGTAGAGCCATCTATGTGTAAAGACAACTTATCTTACAGTGGGTATGGCACATATAACAATGGCTTAAGATGCAAATATATTGTAATGTTATGATTTGCATTGCTGTAAAATGCTTTTATGAAAGTGTAAC